AACTATATAAGGTAGATACCATCATCAGCTTCATTTTACAGATTTGGAAACTGAGGCAAAGCAAGGTTAAGTAATGTGTCCAAGGTTGCACAGCTTACAAGTGGAAGAACAGAAACTAAGTCCAAGCAGTCTCATTTTAGGGGCTACTCTCTTACCTGCTCTGGTATGAGATCTGCCTTCCAGGCAGATTGCTTTGGTGGCAGTGCATTGGAAGAATAAGAAGACTGGAGAGAGGAACCAATTAAAAGGTTGAGAGAAAAAAAGTATTGTGGCAATGAATAATGGAAAGTAGAGAAGATAAAAGAGAAATCAACAGGCAGGTAATTGAGTGGAAGGTGACTGAAATGACCAGCCTGAATGACAGAGAGACCAGTGCTTTGTGGTATTTAGATGTTCCCTATGACAAATTTGCAGTCCCAAAATAGCATCCTAGGCTAAGTGGTCTGAGAATAAAATCTCCTTTCACTAACAGTAATGATCCATCCATACTGGGAAGAGTATGGGGAGGACACCTCACCACCCCCATGGTCTGTGTCTTCTTTGAGAAACTGATGTGTTTCACTTTTAGAGTTTATCATGCAGACACTTTAACAAATTTAAGTTTTATCATTCCAAAATAATTGCCAGATGGTTAGCTATTTCTGAAAAGGAATGTCTAATAAGTAATTTAACATATTCTTACAATTATGATATGGTTCATTCTTTTCACTTGCCTGGTAACCAAAGTAAGCAAAGGATGATGGAATTAGACAAATATTTTCTCCAAAGAATAATTGTGGCGTTAGGAAACCAGGTAATTACAGAAGACCAAACTTAGGAGGAAGTAGTCAAGTAACTGCTTCCAAATGCAAATAACCTTTTTCCAGTTAAATGTTTTAATGAAGAATTTACTCATTCCATTGATATTTTTTAGCTGTTTTTGCCTGTCATTGATTGAAAAATTATTAGGTAAAGTCCCTAATACTTAGTACAATGAGAGATACAAAAGAACACAAATGATAAATCGCTCATGTCCTCAGAAGTTTACAGAGTAGAGGAGATAAGTTTTGTGCACATACAATGAACTGTCTTAACACACAACCTTGAGCATAATATGAATGGTAGTATTCAAGGAAAAGTTAATGTTTATATGGGAAGAATTGAGGAAAGATCATTCCAGATGAAGAGTAAGGCATGACAGAATGGAACAGAGGGAGTGAAGTGTAAAGAAATAGTGAATATCCAATTTGGCTAGAGATGATAGGTAAATCTAGAAATGTAATTTAGAGGCTGATCAGAATTGACCGTGAAGCCCACTCTTTCAATAGCTGGCTGATAACTTAATAAGCCATTACTTTAAATAAATTAATTTGATGGTTGAATGTAAAATGATTTAAATGAGAAAAAAGAGAAGGGAAATTAGTAATTATTGAATACCTGTTGGGTGCCAGGTGTTTTAATATGAATTATCTATTTAATTCTCATAAATGTCTGAGTGAGATGGATTTATAATCATTTTCAAACATAGGGTAACTGAGCTTTAAGGAGATTAAGTAAGTACCCAAAAGGAAAAGTAGACGGTAAGATTTAAATTTCAGATGCCTTCAGTCTTTGATTAAAATTTATTGTGTATATACGGTGTACCTGAATCTCTAATCCATCCACCTCTCACCATTTCTACTGCCATAATTGAGAGCTAAGCTACCCTCATCTTTTACTGGAAACCGCAATAACCTTCTAACAGCTATCCCTCGCTCAGAATTCTGGCCTGCTTCAAGCCCATTTATACTGAGCAGCCAGAGCAATCTTTCTAAGGTGCAAATCAGATTATGTCCCTGTGATTAAACCCTTCTGATGATTTCTAATTGCACTTAGAATAAACTCCTTCCTATGGCCTCCAAGGTTCAAAATGATCTTGCTTTGCTCTTACCTACTTCTCCTACTTCATCTTCCTCCACCCCCAACTCACCTATCCCTTAATACACTCCAGCAACACTGGAGTTTTTTAGTCTTCTTTCAGTTGGTCAAACATTCAATTTTTCTCCTTTCATAGAGCATTTCTACTCTGTTTCTTCTGCTTGAAACATTTGTCCACTAGACTACCAGAGGCTGCCTCTTTTCAACATACATGTTTCACCTCAAACGATGCCTATTCAGAAAATGTCGTTCTTTGAAACATGAAATTTTTTAAATGATTATAAGTGAAAATAGACAAAGATACTGGAGAATGATAAAAAATAGTTAAAATTTACTGAAATGAAGAGCGCCTAGATGTTAACATTAGCACATGCTTTTCAACATTCACAACTATTCACTGTCTCTTCTGTTGCTGATCTTATTCTAGAGCCTCAAATTCATCACTGAACAAAACATGTGAAAATCCCTGCCCTCTTTGAGCTTATATTTTTATCAGGGGATGAGAGATCAAGAATTGAGCTACACAATGTGTTAGAAGATAAATGCTTTGGAGAAAAATAAAATGAAATGGGGATAAAGAATGCTTGTTGGGGGAGGTGGGGGTGAAGATTTTCATAGAGAAGTTCACATTGAAGTAAAGATTTAAAATAGTTGAGTTTGTTAGCCATATGGAAATACAGGGGAAGAGCATTCCAGACAGAAGGAACAGAAACTGCAAAAGAGTTGGAAGTAGAAAGAGATCAGGTAGGTGTTTCCAAGGAACAGCAAGGAGGCCAGTGTTGCTGACACAAAGGGAGTCAGGAGGTTAGGTAGGAGGTGAGTCAGAGATGAGGACAGGAGCGTAGATCCTAATAGCTGCTTTGGCTTTTATTCTCAGAGGGAGGTGGAAGCCATTGGAGGGTTGTGAGCAGAGAAGTGATATGATCTGCGTTAAGTTTTACCAGGATCACTCCAGCTTGTGTGGTACAATTTTTATTAGAAAACAAGTTAGAAGTTTCACAAAAAGTTCTAAGTTTTTAAAAATGGCTTTTGTACAATTCATATAACTCATTTGTGAAAATGTTATGTGCTTCCTAGATGTTTAGTACATATTTACTTGCTTTTTTGTTTGGTTTTGTTTTTACTAAATGAAACAGAAATCAATCGTAAATGTGTCTTTTTTTCTTCTTCTTTTATGCCACTGTTCCATTTTATATCTGGAAGTATTCCCTTCACTATTGGATATAACGTTACAACTCCCTTAGGCTGTGGGGAGGCATATAAATTGTCTTGGGCATACTGCATGCTCAGTCCTGCCTCTGCATCTCCACTGCTACTGCTAAAATCCTGCTTGGAACACCATCCCCATCTCCTTCCTACCTGCTGTTCAAAGCCAGCTGTGTTGCCACAAAGCCTTTGTCAATTGTATCCATTGCTATTAACCTCTTGTCCAGAATCCTCACACTCTGAGTATGCATCACCAGTTTTATAGCAGCTATTTGTATATTGTGTTGTGTTTTTGGACAGTTTCATGTTTGCTTGGTCTATCTAACCAGAGAGCTCTTGTAAAGCTAGGTCTATGTTCTCTATTTTCTACATCCAGCACAACCCAAAGATCACAAAATGTGCTCAATAAGTACCTGATGGTTGGTTGTTTGATCCTTCAACCCATTTCTAAAAATATATCTATCACAGTGAGATTAGGCTATTCAGATCTGCTTTTCAATGAAGAATGTCATTGGAAACCCTAAGGGAATGGTTGATGGTAGAGCAAGCCAGGTGGGGAAGATTCTCTAGTTTTCAAATTGGATTCAGGAAAGCAGTGTCACTGGTCCCCTTCCCAGGTGCTGAATAGCTTATATGCAGAATCACTAATGCTTTCCTTCCTGTTCCTTCAAATGAAATAGCAGCTTATTTATGGGTATCTTCAGCTGCTAAGCATTAATTTTATTATTCTTCCTTGTTTCTTTTATGCACTGCATTTTTGTTGCTAACATCTTTATCACAAATGCAGAAAGCCCTCATGTTAAAAGCCATTTCTGACTATATATATGACATATTTATATAGCTAATCACAATAAACAATCAATTGGTTCTTAGTATCTAAATAACCAAATGCTTTATTAGGGAGTTCATATATGATATTAATAAATTTTTCCTAAGTATGAAAGACATACATTTAAAATAAAGCAAAGAATATACTATCTTTTTTTATCACTTGTGTATAAGATCAAGGCACACTAAGAAACAGAGAATGTGTTTTCCGATATAGCCCTGCCAGGTATATATCATTCTGAGTTTTGATTAAAACTCATACTTGCTATCTCAATTATGAACTGTCTCAAACTGGTTTTGTAAATGGGTTTCAGTTCTAAAGGCTTAGTAGTAGGGACAATGAATTTAAAATGCACTCATCAAGAAGCTTTCATCTTCTTGTCATCAAGGATAACCATTTGCTTTTATCATTAAGGTATTTTACTTTCACTAAAAAGTAAAATTAAGTGTATTTGTTGAATTTCACAGCTTGCATTACTTTCCAGTGGTGGAAGTCTATTTACCTTAGAATTCTCTTAAAATAAGAAGTAGTTTTGTAGTTTTGAAAAGCAGCTAACTGCTAAGTTATTCCTCTGGACACAGAGGGTATGCTAAAATCAAGCACATCACTAGATTGGGGCAAAATGACCAAATTTATCTTCTGCTTCTATATGCAGTGTTTTCCCTAGTGCTGAAATAGTAATGGGAGGATGGTAGGACAGATGGAGGAGGCCATATTTAGATCCCATAATGTTTGCTTGAATGTGCATTTGAGGACAGTTTTCTCGTTAAAGGGCTAAGATATTTTTACATAATATAATTCAGTTTCTTTGTCCATTAGCACTTAATGTTTGAATTTTAGTGAATAAATGTTGGGGAAAATTATTTTCATATGTCGATGATTTACTCCTAATAAAATCAATGGATGATTTGCTTGTATTACTCAAAGGAAGAAGGAATTCTATTATTCTGTATTATCACATAAAAGTCATGTAGAGGATTATTATTGCTTTAATATTACAATTAAAAATAACAATCACAGTCACATTTTTTCATATTACCTGACTAACAATCTTTGCTATATACTTCAGGCATGAACTTCTAGAAGAAGCTCGGAGAAAGGGATTACCTTTTGCCCAGTGGGATGGGCCCACTGTGGTGGCCTGGCTAGAGGTAAGAGAGGTTTTAATAACCAGAAGACTCTTAAATCAATCACTACTAATTTAAGGGTTTTTTAGAGACAGATTAAGATAGGTTACTGGAAACATAGTTTCCCAGTAGCCTGGAATGACGTCCAAAGGGAATAGTTACTTTATCTAGGCGCCCATACACATCATTGTGATTTTACTCTGGCATTTCCTTGTGATTGTAGAAGAAAGGAAGCACTCAGTGGGATAAAAGGAAATATCTCTAAATCCTACCTTCTTTATGGCTAGAACAGGAGAAGAAACACTGAGCCACATTTCTGTTGTTGCAAGAACACATCTATCCCAGTCCATCAGTCCAGTGTCCTTCTTCATCAGCAGGCTACAGAGAAGAGTCATCTCCATATTCAGCACTTCTGTGTTATCCAAGACATCACTGCCACATAAATGTATAGTTGCTTGTAATTTAATTCCTGAACCTAACCCTCTAAGGAGCCCTGGTGGTGCAGTGGTTAAGCGTTTGGCTGCTAACCAAAAGGTTGGCAGTTTGAGTCCAACAGGCGCTCCTTGGAAACCCTATGGGGCAGTTCTACTCTGTGCTATAGGGTTGTTATGAGTTGGAATCAACTCCATGGCAACGGGTTTGGTTTGGTTTTGATTTTTACCCTCTAAAGCCTAGAGGCTAGCCTGGTTTAGACACTTGGGATAAAGCAAGAGAAGACGTATGCCCTTGTTACCTTCTGTGTCCAAACTGAATGTTATATTGACAAAAGTACTACATTCAGCATTTCCTACACAATGTAGCGTTATGGAAAAATAAAGCAATACCTGAGCAGGATGGAGGGCAGCAGGAGCAGGCTTTGACCATTAGGGACATCCATATTTGACCAAGAAGGGCCCTATTCTTGCCACTTATCAATAGTGTCCACTGCTCTTTCCATTCCTTTCTCCATATGGGCTTCTAGCAGTTACTAGGATATGCCAATGTCAGGGCAAAGAAGAATATAGTGTCTTCTTGCATGACAGAAGCAATTAGAACCTGCTGTTATAAATTGTTTGGGTTTATACATCACCCATCTTCATTATCACATCATATCCAGAGCTAACTAATCAATGAAGAAAAAAATTAAACCCCATTTTAGTTTTAAAAAATCATTTTATATACATAGATGGAAAAACATGCTTTGCATTTTTCTTGGACTAAGTGAAAATAGCTTGTGCCTTGCTTTATTTTACTCTATCATATCAATCAGGGAATTTTTTTTGGCATATTAGTAATCAGAGTTGCTTTTTCCAAGTATGTCTTGAAATTTATTGTATTTTAAAAAATCAATTATAAGACAAAATGCTTAAGAATACACACTGGAGAAATGATAGCAGATCTTTGTTCATTTTTCACTCTGATAAAATGATTTTCAGTTTGACAGAGAGTTGGCTGCTATCTTGGCAAGTAAAGAACAAATTCTTCATAGACAAAAACAGATTCACTGCCATTAAGGTGCTAGGAAGTGACAGGCGATGAAGTTTTTGCTAATTAAAACTACTCTGAGCACAGAGGAATTGCTCATAATATGCCTCCTAATGTGACTCAAATTATAAAATGGAATAAACAAGTTGAATGAGCGGGATTATCCAATGAATGAGACCTCTTAACTTTCACCTCCTTGAGTGCACAGGCTGTTAAGAATGACGTGAAGTGAGTCTGATGCTTCACACACCATTTGTCCCCATCAAACATTCTCTAAAGGCTAATCAGGAAGACAGGGTACTGGCAAGCTTTAGGGTAATGTTAACCAATGTGGAAATCCAAACATCTTAGTAAAGAGGGCTAGAAAACCATTAGCATCCATGAAGGTACATTTAGATACTTTGTTATTTTGTGCAATTATCAGGAAAGAAGTGAAAACCCACCTTCCTTCATATCTAATCCTACCTGTCAAGGTGAGGTCAATTCTATGTGCCTAACCTGCTGGAGGGGTCCTGGTGGTGCAGTGGTTAAGAGCTTGGCTTAAGAGCTCAGCTGCTAACCAAAAGATTGGCAGTTTGAATCCACCAGCCACTCCTTGGAAACTCTATGGGGTTTAACCTATTGGAAGATAGTATAAGCTGTTCAGTTGTGCACTGTTCTTATGTCCTCTTTCTCTCTTCTCTCATCTCAGTCACAACCCAGGCCACACTCAATAATGTGGCTTTTCGTTTCTTTTTCCCCCTATAGAGACAAGTAGCCTTCCAATATTGCTGAACTTTTAAACTAAAAGGGTATCTGTATTAATTATCTCTTGTCCTGTTATCAAAAAACTTAGTCTTATAACAACAAACGTTATTATCTCATGGCTTCTGCGATCAGGAATCTGGGCATGGTGTAGCTATAGCCTCTGCTCACGGTTTCTCACAAGGCTGCATTGAATGTTTGGATCCACTTCTAGGTTCACTCATGTGGTCGGAGTCAAGACTCAGTTCCTTCCTAGCTATTAGCCAGAAACATCAGTTCCATGTCACGTGGCCTCTCCATAGGGCTACTCACAACATGGCACCTTGCTTTCCTCTGAGAAAGATCTTAGAGAGAAGGAGAACATGGGAGAGGACAAGAAAAATGATGCTCAAGTCTGGAAAATGACATCTCACCGCTTTTTACCATATTCTACTCATTAGAAATGAGTCACTAGGTCCAGCCTAAATTCAAGGGGAGAGGCTTATACAAGGGTGTGAATACCAGGAGGTGGGAATCATCATAGGGAGTAGGGGTGGCACCTTAGAAGCTGCCTAACACAATGTCTTAGAAATAATAAAGCTTAATCCCTTACTTTGCAAATGAGGAAAAGAAGGCTGGGGTTTGGAGGAATACCTGACACTAACGACAGGGAAAGAATTAGAATCCAAGCCTTCTGATTTCTGGTCCAGAGCTCTTGGCATTGTGTTTCGCTCCCTTTATAGTTTTTCTTCTTTCTCTCACTCTCTCACTCTTTCTCACTCTTTTTTGTTCTTATGTTCTCTCTCCTCTGCTCAATCTGTTCACACCAACAAATAAAACAAAAATAATATAACATAAGTATTTTGGACATTTAAAAACCAAGAATTAAACTACTCCCTTGCAAGTTTCTTGCTTCCTACTTATAGATAATGATGGGGGCGGGGAGGAAAGGAGGGAGAATATTCCTTTTTTAAGTGTATGTATTTCAGATGATGTAACACAATGCATGTGAGCTGGCATTCACCCTGTGCTTAAAATGTGTACCAGACACTGCTGTGTTCATAACACTAATTATTCACTTATCTTTTCAGAGCCTCACAGCTAAATTGAAAAATCTGTATTCCTACTTTCTAAGGGATTGTGCATTTTATTACTCTTGTTAAAAACTTACTCTCTTTTAAAGTTAATGTGACAGTCTTCTTATAACTCTTTGCTTCATTATGAGTGACACTTATAAGCTCCCTCTATAGTTAGGTTCCTGTGGCTATTATGGAAACCCTGGTGGCATACTGGTTAAGAGTTCGGCTGCTAATCAAAAGATCGGTAGTTTGAATCTACCAGGCACTCCTTGGAAACCCTAAGGGGCAGTTCTACTCTGTCCAATAAGGTCGCTATAAGTTGGAATCGACTCAACAGCAATGGGTTTGGGTTTTTATTTATTTATTTATTTTTTATATATATGTGGCTATTTATTAGATGTACCTACCTGCACATGGCAGATTTCTGTAGACGGATTGTAGCATAGAAGTGCTTAGGTAATTATACTGATCTAAATCTTCCAGGATTCTACGTGAAATTCATTTCTTGCTATAAGAGGCACAAGAAATTGTTACAGGATGGATGGATGGATGGATAGGTTCATGGATAATAGGTGAATGAATCTAGTTGTGTCTTGAAGGACAAGACGGACTTCTTTAGGCATACATGTAGGAGTGGATATCAAGTGGCCTGTAGTAGATATAAAATTTCCATGCTTGGGTTCAGAGAGGATCAACTGATGATACTCCTTTCTCCTAAGCTTACTAAATCACTTGAAAAATAGCCATAGTGAGAATATGACTTCCATGAGAGCATAGCTTTTTGCCTGATTTGTTTCCTATGACATTGCTAGTACTAAATCAATGTCTGATACGTATCAGGTCCTAATAAATATCTGCTAAATAAATGAAAAATGTTTAGAACATCAACCAGTTGACATTTATTTAAAATAGAAGGTTGTTGAATGTTTAATTCATTCATTCGTTCATTCATTCAAAAAAGTTCTCTTCATCTTCTATATGCCAGGAAATTTTCCAAATGATTATAATTTTAGTATCTTCAATTATAATTTTAGTATCTTCTATTATAATTAATTTCATTCTCCAAAAAGCATTTACATATATATCATCTAATTTGGTTCACACAATTATTTATTACATGATGTAGGTAGGTGGGCAATGAGTGTTAGCTATACTACATGCTTTGATCAAAACCACATGGCTGGAGGTGGTAGAGTTCCAACACTTAGTGTTCCAAAGGACAATTATTTAGTGGAAGTCACTCATACAGACTTTGAGTTTCTTATCAAATGCAGCTTTTGACTGTTCTTTTTGTCCTCCAATGCAGGAGGATATTGATGTTGTACAGCTATTACTTTTATCCCTTGCGATATAAAGTAGTTGTTAAAATAGTCTCTGGAGCCAGAATTCCTGGAATTCAAATCTCAGTTCCATGACTTTGTAGCTGGTGTTTTTGAACAAATTACTTAGTGTCTCTGTGCATTTATTTCCTCTAGTGGAAATAATAATGACATCTATCTCATGGGGTTATGAGCATTTAATGAGATCATACGTGCAAGATAGTTAGAATAATGCCCAGCACATAATAGACACTAAAACGTTACCTATTATAATCTGTGCGCGTATTTTTTTTTTTTTCTCTCCTAAAGCTCTGGTTGGGAATGCCTGCTTGGTATGTGGCAGCTTGCCGTGCCAACGTGAAGAGCGGTGCCATCATGTCTGCTTTATCAGACACTGAGATCCAGAGAGAGATTGGAATCAGCAACCCTTTGCATCGCCTAAAGCTCCGATTAGCCATTCAGGAGATGGTTTCCTTAACAAGCCCTTCAGCGCCTCCGACATCCAGAACAGTGAGTCAGTTTCTGCTCCTCCCCTCTCGGTGCTGGGCAAACACCAGCAACATCTCAAATCTTAAATTATGGCAGCACACATTTCAGGGTCAGCATGAATTATTCTGAAGAGATTTAGCTTGATCTTCATTAACCTTGCTGCTACTTTTAATAGATTTTTATTCAACGAGCTGTACTTCCTATCACACTTGAATGCTGCATTCTTCATGATTATGCAAGTCTCTAAAACGGGAAATAGGAACCAAGATAGATTTTTGGGCCGGTCTCTATACTCAAGTTTAGATCTTTCTCCCAAGCTGAAAGTCCTTGATCTTACTCTTTTTTCAGGGATATTCCTTTTAAAAAAAAAGTAATTCAACAGCGTCTCAGGACATGACTTGTATGCATAGTATTTTCTGGACAAACAATGCTTACCTAACTATTTTTAAAGCAATTTGCCTATTATCTAAATTACATTGACAGTCAATGTTTTATAAACACCAAATGCAATACCTTCCTTCAAAATCTGTTTGATTTTCATTTGTAAATCTTTAATCATCTCATAAATGGGTCCCTATCCTAATGTTAAGGAGCCCTGATGGCACACTGTTTAAGTGCTTGGCTGCTAGCCATAAAGATGGTGGTTTGAATCCACCAGCTGCTCCAAGGGAGAAAGATGTGGCAGTCTGCTTCCACAAAGATTTACAGTTTTGGAAACCCTATGGGGCAGTTCCACTGTGTCCTATAGAGTCACTACAAGCTGGCAATGGGTTTTTATACTAATATTAGGAAATAATTAAATGTGAAAAGAAAGCACACAGGATGAAGAAATCAAACACTAAGCAAAACTTCCAAATAATATTTTGCTCTTTTCTTTATTCTTAAATAATATATTTTGCTGATAAATGATATGAATTCTAATGTTAACTGAGTCTCTGTGGGCCCATGTCTAATACAGCATAAGAAAATTTGGGAGAATGAGATAAAGCTGAATATCAGCTAAAGATACAAAAGTAGTATTACATTATACAGTGTTCAGTACAAAAGTAACAAGTATACGCTTTTATGTACAATCTTAAACAGTTTTAGAGAATTTCTTTTATTTCTGTTGTATTAACTCTTACGCTCCTTCACAATGTACTATATTTCAATGCCAGAAATACAAAGTCAAATTTAAAAGCTTATAAATTTCTTGAATGATGCCATTTTAACTTCTTTCTATATAACATGTAGGGAAAAAAAGATATCATTTAACCAATTTTTATTTATAACATCGTTTTCAAATAGATATAAATGCTCTGCACTGTAACTGGAATTCTACTCAAGCTAAAAGACAATTCAGAATACGTTTAAAATAAAAACTGAGCAGGCTATTAGAATAGTTATTATGGACCAAATTCAGACCTGATGAAGAATTTCCTGAATAATTCCCAGATGAGAAAGAAGTATTATAAGTGGTTTATAGCGACAGTTAAACAGCATCTGATTTTTTTTCTTCCAAGTAAAAATCAGATGCAAAAAAAATTGGAAACTCCTAACCTTGCAAAAATCAGAGCATTCAAAGTGCCAACTTTAGGATGAAAAATAGAATAGATCTATTATTTTTGTTTAGCAACCTAATCCATTTTTCATAGAAAATAGAATAATCCCTGTTTTCTAAACATGCTTGAGCAAACTGGAGGAATTTGAATAAGAGAGTATTAAAGATAAGAGTACATTCAATTGCTTAACTAGCAGGCAGATGTGAAGACTGCTTATGAGAACGTTCCTGATCTAGCCCCTGTTTACCTGAAAGGTATTTTTCACATTATTTCCTCAGATGCAGGATTCCAACAATACTACCTTCAGTTCCCTAAAATTTTATCCTCTTGATAGATTATGAACTTTTGCAATTGGCCTTCCCTTTGGCTGGAAAACCAGGCTCACCATCCCTCCCCCACTCACCCTTAACTTATTGAGTCCTGCATGTCCTTCCGCTCAAAAGCTTTTGCTGAGCCCCACAGTCTGGGTTTGGTTCCCTTCAGTTTGGATTTTGTTCCCTTCCTGCAATGCCAATCTGTATACTTCTAAAACCATTATTGTAATTTACTTTTCCCTTGATTTATCCCCTGGTGTCTCAGCGGTTAAAGTGATCAACTGCTAACCAAAAGGTTGGGGGTTTGAAATCACCAGCGGCTCCACGGGAAAAGATGCGGCAGTCTGCTTCCTTAGAGATTTACAGCCTTGGAAACCCTATGGGTCGCTATGTGTTGGAATCAACTCGACGGCAGTGTTTTGTTTTGTTTTGAGGTTTTCCCTTGATTTATGCCCCCAATAGACCAAATGAGGATAATTTTGGGTTTGCCATAGACTATAGGGCTTAACTCAGTGCCTGGCAAATTTTAGACTTCAATAAATGCTCTGCTAGAAATGATGATTCTACAAGTCACTCTATCCACCATTCCGGAGGATGTGAAATACGTATGGCCCTGGCTTCAGAGATGGTCACTATATGCAGTAAGGAAAGTAAGGCATGTTCCCCAATAAGCTGAGGATGAGACAATATAGTCTAACTCCTAAATGCAAGATGGAAGTAAAACATTGTGGAAGCTCCAAGGAAAGAGAAATCTCTTCTGGCTGAATAAGAAATGACAGAGGAATTAACATTGGAAAGACAGATAAAATATTCTTTATAGCATTTAAGTTTTTTATTTGTTTACAAGATTAATACATGCTCCTTGTAAAACGCAGAAAAATACAAAGACAACAATAAAAATTTGAAAATAACAAAAATGATTCCAGAAATAATCACTATTAATTTTACTATTAACATTTTGATAGAGATCTTTTCAGTTTTTTATGTATCTTTTTATAAATATTAATGTAAAAAAACCTATTTATTGCACATGTTATTTTATATATTTCTTTTGAAACATGATAATATAGCATTTCCCCTCCCTTTGCCAACATTGATTATCACATTTGCATTTTTAAAATTACTAGTAAAGTTAAAATTGTTTGAGATGCCTATTAGTGATCTACGTCCATGAATTACACATTCATAAATATTTCCACTTCTGTACACATTTATATGAATCTTAGAATTCTGTTTTTTAAGAATACAAGAATATTTATTTTTTTACTAGTATGTAAAAGCTCTTTATTCATATAAGATATGCACACTCTGCCAAATATTTTACAAATGTTGATACAAGTTATATAAGAGACAAGTTAAGTTATACCTATATGCTAAATGGTTTTTTTTTCTGTAATTCAACGCCACCGTATGAAAAAATTTACTCTTTTCTAATATATTTCAAATATAATTTAATTTACAATAAAATGTACATATAAAATTTCTAGTAATAAATTCACTGCATAAAGATTAACACATCTTAAACTCATGACTTGTAATTAAATGTTATAATTATGTTGGAACTTGCACTTTGCAAAAACAAAAGTTTTTGTTTGTTTGTTTTGGTTTTTTTGAAGAAATGTCACTATGTCTCCCAGAACACAGTAATTAGTTCAGATCATTCAAGGATTTTTTTTTTTTTTTAATTGATATTAGGTTTGAGTTCTTCAGCCAGTTGTATCTTGTTCATTCACTCACATTTTCAGGAGAGAAAGATGAGACTCCCCAGATTTTTTTTTCCTTCCTTTAACTGAATAGAAGTTCTGCCTGATTCTGCCTTCTTTCTTGTCTAGATAAGCTGGGCTGGAGCACCGAAAAAAAACAAAAAGTGAAGTCATTTTTATTATTTCCTTTGGCCAGCCCTAATCTTACAGCTGTTTGTTTCTTCTACCCAAGGTACTGTTACTGTAGAAGGCCTCTTACCTTACAGGATCGGGAACTGAGCTATCCGTTAATTGAAATATTTGATTAAAGAGAGATGTCCTAAAGAAAAATAAGTACATTCTTTAAATTTTTTATCTTAAGTAAAGTTACGTAAATGTTTGTTCATTTGCCAATTTATATGAAGCACATAGGACTTTTTTGAGTATGTTTCCAATGCTTGGAGTTCCACATTTATTCTTTGGTTATCCCATCCATAAAACATCTTCAACTTTTCTAGTTTGGGTTTCTTTTTAAAGTGAAAATTTAAAGATTTTTGAAAAGCTACTTGAGTGCAGAATCTTTCTGGACATTTATAACTTTTTTGACTTAAAATTTACAATTTCTTCCCCAGACTTTTATAAAGTTGTGTCTCCTTGATACTGTGTTTTAAAATTAGTCTTTATCTAATCTTTCCAAATATTCAACTTAGTGTTCATACAAAATCCAAACTTATTTTATTTTTTGCTTTATGTAATATTTAAATTGCTTACTTAAAAAAAATTGCAGTGGAAATAAACTTGGAAAAAAGTACAAAGTATCTTTGGTAATCATACAATTCAACTAGTTTGAGAAGAAATGTAAGGCATAATAGGCATTAGTCAGCACACTGTACAGGGGGACTAGAGAGCATCATTAAACTAAAAATTTGTTTGAATGGAGGTTGGTTAACAAAATTTCTACTAAAATTGTAGTATTAGCTAATTATCAGTGGCACACTTATTGTGTTAGGCACTGTTTTAGTGCTTTACAGGTAATAACTCATTTAAGCATAACAACACTATAAGATAGATACTATTATTATATATTTTTACATGTGGGGAAAAGTGATATATAGAGAGGTTAAATGACTTGTCTAAGGTCACACTCTGTCATGGTTTGGCCCCATAGCTATGCTCCTGACAAGTATACTTCTGACATTATAAAGCCTATGCTTCCTGTACTTTACCATTCATTTCCTTCTCTTTTGA